AAGAAAATGTAAGAGATGTCACAGATCCTGAGGAAAAACCTCAGTGACTTCCCAAACTATCACAATGTGTGACTGAGTTTTGGAGACGTTATTATTCGAGTGTCCAATCCTATCAATTTTATTATTTGGGACTTACATTTGCATAATATTTGATTAAGCAAATAGCCCGCAGGGATAGGAGGGTTTACGTCGTGTCACACGACAACCTCGGAACCTAAAGCGAATTAGGACTTGCGCCGCACAACATGATTGTGCAGGAGCCTAAAGAGGGTGTTAAGGATTTACGTCACGTTGAGCGAGCTACATCGAAATCCTATGTATTATTATTTAGACCAAGGAGATAGAGATTGCTAAAAAATGTCCTCTTGTTACTTGATCCAAGCTCCTTGTCGTGCTGCCCACAAAGCTGGCTCCAAGCTCCTCATCGATGTAACAATCTTAAATTTTAGGTTCAAAGAGTTTTACCAGCTGTGTTTCAAAGTTTTGATTTTGTTGTCATTCAAGCATTATGAGAGGGGGATAAAGTTGATTAGAGCGACACCAGTTAAGATCTCACGGTTCCCTCATTCCGGTACCACTATTCTCTTTTGAACTTAGTTTAAAAGAGTTGTTAAGTTCATTTAAACTGGGGAGATCTCATTAACAACCATGGGTTACCTCATCCGAGAGACTCCAATAAATTCATAAGAACGTGTTATGTTTTTTTTTTTGAAAAATTTGTTTAATTTTTGAAAAAAATAATTTTGTTTTGAAAATGTTGTTAAATTTTTGAAAAATTATTTTGTTTTGAAAATGTTGTTACAATCAGTCCTACATGATATATTAGAGTAAGAGAAAATTTTAGTGATAAAATAACAAAAAATAAAATGTATCTGCGTACCTGGCGTATCTGCTACTATTATCACTGCTGCGTGTTTATCTCACAAAAAATAATATAATTTGTAAGAAATTTAAATGAATTGCAAAAAAAAAAAAAGAAAACAACAATTCTAGTGTAAAAAGCAACAAAACAACTAGTAACAACAGCCAGGAGCTCCAAACAGGTGATCTTAAGGCTTCCTATAACTCCGAACAGCAACTAGGAACTCCCAACGATGAACCTAAGGCCTCCTACGGCTCCGGGCAGCAACTAGCAAGCTCGTGCGGTGATCCTATGGCCTTCTACGGCTCCGGGCAGCAACTAGCAAGCTCGTGCGGTGGTCCTACGACCTTCTACGACTCCAGGTAGCAACTAACAAGCTTATGCAGTGTTTTTATGGCTTCTAACGAATCCAAACAGTAATATGTAACACTACACAGCATTTGTATGACTTCCTACAAATCCAAACAGCAATATGCAACACCACATCATTTGTATGGCTTCCTACAAATCCAAACAGCAGCTAGGAACTCCGGACAGTGATTCCACGGCTTCCTACGACTCTGGACAGCAACTATGAACTCCAAACAGTGACAAGCAAGCTTGGCATGGCACCCCACAGCTCTCCCAGCAATTTTCAAGTATTTTCCAGCACTCTTAAAACCACTAAACATCAATTTTAACTCTCCAAACAGCAAAAGAAACATCCTTGAAACAGTCCGAAAAAAGGCAATTTAAAAGTCCCCAAATCCCTCTCTAAAACAGCGAATAAAATCAGCCCAAAACGGTGCCTAAACCGTCTCCAATCAGAAACCCTTTTGATTTCAAAAACAGTATCTAGATCCTCTCAAAAATAATGATACCAAACAATCCACCATAAAGGATCAAACGGGACCTCGCATGCATCCCCTATTGTGTTTTGTGTTTACATGTTTAACACCTAAGTCCCAATTTTACATCTATTTCACCCAAATCTTTTGTAGCATGTCAAAACAACATCGATACGGCTTCTAGCGCATTTGCGCAAAGATGTACATGCAGAAGAATTAAAACTTCAGGTGTTATAAATGTAAATCCAAGAGAATCTTGTGGTATGTGTGTAATTCTTCTTTGATTAAAGAAAATCAATTGAATTGTAAGCATATGAGTGCAGGAATTTCAGGCTTCCTGTTGAATTCTAATCAACTCCAAGAACTTGATTTGCTACAAACATAGCATAATACTACCAAAAAGGAAGCCTAAATTTGTTATTGCTTGCCAAAGTATGATCATTGATATATCGTTAAAAGGCTTAAAGATATAACTGTTACAGATCCATGCCTTGAACGTAAGTTTTAATGCCAAAAGACTATGACATGTAACGATCGTTCCTTCAAATAAATACAAGAAAAGTTTATATTTAAAATTGCTAAGAACAGCAGTAGAGCTTACCGAATACACCTTAGAAGGATGAGAGAACAGTGCAGCCCTGGAAGAGAGGGAGAGTTGCGGTAACGAAACAATCTCAATTGCTCAAATGTTGCGAGTAAGAGAGAATTCGACCATGCTTTTGCCTGTGAAGAGGAGTGTCGGCCAAAGCTTTCGGTGCAGAGGGGAGGTGAAGCCGAGAGAGAGGAGTCTAGGGCTTCTTCGGTCGAGTGAGAAAGGAGGGAGTCGAGCTCGAGAGAGGATTTCGGCCGAGCGAGGGAGGCAAGCAGGAGCTTCGGCTAGAGCTGCGATCAAGTCATAGAGGAGGAGCGGTCAAGCGAGAGGAGAGTCGAATCGAGCAGAGGAGGAGCGGGGTCGAATGCTTCGGTTCGCAAAGGCGAGAATGCGTGCGAGAGCAGAGGAGCTGGCGAGCGGGAGGAGACTTCGAACTGGAGGAGAGGGCGTTCAATGTCTCTGGCAAGGAAGAGACAAGCGTGATTGAGCAGAGGAAAAAAGGAAGCGGATGCGAGGGTTTCGGTGCGTGAGGCAGAGAGGGGGAGGAAGGAGCGGGAGAGTTCTCCTTTCTTCAAATAGGAGTGGCGCCGAATTGTATAGCCAAGGGGGGTTTAAATGATTTCCATACGCAGAGGAGTCTTATTTGGCGTGTAATAATTTTCAAATGAATTTAACTATGGTGAAATTAAATAACTCATTCGAAATTTAAAATTTTAAAATTCAAAATTGTTTAACCCTTGTTCAGCCCAAGTCTAGCCCGAATCGAATATGAGTTAAACCCGGGTTGAGCCCAGGCCCGCGCCCCTCTAAATAAAAAAAACGTGCATCAATTTTCATGTTGATTGCTCGCGTGTGAAATCATAGCAATATTAGTGTACTTTTTAGCTAAATTCAACATTCAGGACGCATCTGTGTAGTCCGTTTCGTCATTCGGGGTAGTCCGGATGAGTTTGTCGATGATCGGGTCAATTCAAGTCAACGTTGTGTGTGGTGCAGTGAGTGCATAAATTGCGGCGTTCGTGAGTGTTCGAGTCATGAAGGTTTCACCTATGGTCGTATGATCCTATAGAAACTCATTTTCGGGCTCTCTACATTTTAGTCCTTAGTCATTGCAACTTAGAGTTGAGTGTTTGGGACTACTCATGCGAGGTATGCACAAAAATAAGTCAAGAAGTGGTTCGAAGTTCTATGGGAGGTGGGTTCTATTACTAGTCTGTTAGGATGGTCAACAAGGAACTCCTAAGGCTAGATTATGAGTTTGTGAGTAGGAAACTAAGAGCTCACTGAAAATGAGGTCAGCAGACAGTTAGAGAGATGGCAGAAGCGGTGGGGATCTGCTGCAGGAGCTGGTGAACAAATTGACAGCAGCCGGGAGGATGGACAGAGAGATAAATATTTCGGCGGAGTCGGAGAGCGGTCCGGACCCGTAGAGACGATTACCACCTAGGACAAGGTACATCTGGAGCACTACATTGACGTCGGATACATTCCACAAGAGGGAAAATAGTCAGACAAAACTGAATTCAGATTTCATAAAAAACCACCCCTAAGCACAACCTCTCCTATTTATAAAGAGGCATGACCTATCTTAGGAAACATTAAAAATAGAAGCAGAATAAAATCAGATTTTATGATTTTTAAAATAAGGAAAGAAATAAAATCATATTTTAGTTTTGATTTAAAATTAGAAAAAGAATAAAAATAAGTTTTCAGTTTTAGAAAAGGTATTAAAATTAGAAAGGACCTAAGATTGTCAGAAAGGAAAGAAAGAAAAAAAAGAAAAGAAAGGAAAGGGACAGAAAATGTAAAGGAGCAAAGGGGGAGAAGGGAGTGGAACCCCTCCCTCCCGAGCCCTGCGTTAGAGTTAGCATGGGGATGCAAGAGTGGCTTCAAAGTAAGAAGCGGGAGCGACTTCAATGCAGGGATTGGAGACTTTGTGTGATTTAAAATAGGGATGAGGATTGGAGAGTGGCACGAACTGAGAGGCGAAAAGGAAAGAAAAGACTTTCAATTGGGAAATGCGTGAGAAGGGAGCATTTGACTTTGGCTCTTATGCCTCGCAAACACAGGTAATAGGAAGAACGGTTGTCGTGCGAGAAGCAGAGCAAGAGATGGAAGTTTCAAAGGTCTCTGTATGTTGCATTCCCATCGCATGCTGCAAAGCAGAAATAGGAGAGCAAAAGAAATGAAGAGAAATGGAATCGAACAAAGAGTAAGAGTGCAATTTCGAAAAACCGTGGAGACAAGGGCTTCCTATGAATTCGAACAAGAAAGTGAAGAACAAAAGGGAGATGTTATGGAAGTTTGTCGTGCAGTCTTTTACTTCGAACAGGAATATCTAGCGCAAACGGTTATGGAACAGCATGAAATGTAATTTGGCGTGCATAAAAGTTTTAGATTTTTATTTAATCTTAAATAAGTTTAATTAAACCTAATTGATAAAATTACTAATTTTAAATTACTATTTAATGTCAACATTTGCATGCATGCCAGCTTACCTATGCATGAAAATGTGTATTTCACTTTTAAAAAGTTGAAATGACAGTATTTTTGATGTCATATGATTTAGGTGATATAAATGTAGAAAGGCAAAGCTTAGATGTTAGATAAGTAATTACATAAGAATTGGGTGGAGGCATGTAAGTAAATGGCCCAAGACAAATTGGCAACTCATCAAGATCTATTTCTCTCTTGTAAGGTGTTATTGAGAAAAGCAAACCTCAAGCAACAACTTGTTCATGGTTATGCCATCAGTATTGATGAAGTCCATGTCCTCCATGGGCAACCCACACTCGTGCAATAGCCGGATCATTTGCTCCATCACAATGCACACCTATGAATGAAATCACATCGATGACTCCAATGCACGAGAAAACATATATGAATCAGATCATATAAATTTCAGAGATCTCGGTGCTAAACATACATTTTCAGTGCCCGGCAAAAAAAGAAAAGATGTTGATCATGTATCTTGGTATGCCATAAGAAATAAGGGACATTTACATGCATAACACACAATTCTTATGTATTTATATATCTCATACCTAAACTCTCATATTTACACACATAGCACTCAAATCTTTAATATCACAGCAAAAATAGCTCTATTACCACATTTTAAAAGTGAATCACATTTTAATGCATAGGTTTAGAGCACCGCGTGCTATGTATGTAAATATGAAAGTTTAGGTGTGAGATATGTAAATACATAAGAATTGTACATGTTCTGTATTAAAATTTCCCTTATTTAAACAAAAAAATTATACAAGACCTTCCAAAAGAATTGAAAAGAATAAATTGCGCAGCTGCTGCAGAAGTCACATATTTCACTTCATTAACTTTTTAAGCTTTAAACATCACTCAAATTGAGATTTAATGAACATAAAAACAATCAAATCAAAATAAAGAAAAAAATGATTAAAGAACATGTAGTTTAACGTGTGCATTGATGGATTAAATTTTGTGGGAAATTTCATGCATACTTGAACTTTCCTATCTTCATTTTGGCTGATTTTTCTTTATGAAGCCTTACTGTTGGATGTTTTCTTTAGCAATTTTGTTTTTTACGCCTTTATATTGCAAAGCTTCCTTCATCCTAGTACTGCCTACGCGGATATTGTAAGAACAAGATATAATAGAATTCACAAATAAACTAAAATTGGGCATTTAACTTGTCTCGCTGATGCCAATCAAGATAGCATGAGACTACAATGATGACACGTCAAAATAATTTTGGATTTTTTCCTTTTTAATATATGTCTGGACAATGATTGTCAGCCTGCAGACACTGGCTATCTTCATTTTAAATTTTGTTCGATATAGAAATTAGCCAATTATTAGTGGTTTAATGGTTGTCATTAGTGCAATTGGAAGCACTCAGACGAAACAAGTTAGGGGCATTTGGGATCAAACTTTTGTTTTTCATTTTTATTTTGTTTTGTTTATGTTTTGATTTGAAATAAAATATGTTTGGTTTTAATTGTTGTCTTTAAAAACACACAAAAATTCTACCAAGTATTTTAAAAAAATGATTCATTTAAAAAATATATAAAAATATGCGAAAAAATACATTAAACAAATGTTTTTTTTTTCAAAATAAAAGAAAAAAATTAAAAAAAAAAATTGATGCCAAACAAACCCTTAGTTTCATTTACCTTGCTATCAACTTTAAGAACCGGCTTGTTTCCCATGTAGAGAGCACCCATAAGTTGCAGCAGTGGAATTTCCAAAGGGAAGTTAAATGGAGTGATAATTGCAACCTGGGTACATCAGCATATCCAATTTAACATTTTTGGGCATCAAATTAACATGTAGCACTACTAAAAGAATGAATTTGCTCAAGTATAAACTTATTACAGGTTAAATTCAAGTACAATGGTGATACCGGAGTTAGCCTAACAACAAAGAGAACAGTAAAAAGTATTGCTGAATTCAAATGTGAAATTACAACGAAATAAATGAAATCTGAAATTGCAACAACATGACACACAACACGCGACCAGGGTAGATCTAGGGTGGTGGTGGTGGCTATTGGGGTAGCTTAGAAGGGCGGCGGCAAGATAGGGAGGGGGGCTGGACTAAACAGCTGTCAGACAGTGGTGGCTTGCTGTCCTAGGCAGCAGCAAGCAGGGAAAGGCGGGGTTGCAGAGAAAGCTGCAGCAAAACAGTGGTGGCCTGCTGCCCTGAGCGGCTGCAAGCATGGAAGTGACAGAACAGCAGGGAAAGGAAGGGTAAAACGGCTGCTGCTTGCTGTCCTGGTTGGTAGCAGGCAGAAAAGTAGCTGGAGCTGTAGGAAAATAGAAAGGAAGCTGCAGTTTGGGCGCCGGTAGCAAAAAACAGCGTCTGGTAGCGATGCGGAGGCTAGGGAAGAGTGGGGGAAAAGGAAATCATAACCTCGCGAATGAAATACAATTTGAGCACCACTCGGCCCTTGATACAGTCCTAGACAGAAAAATAGAAACACCGCGGCTGTCTCGAACAAGCTCATGCAAAAACTGCCCTAAAACGCAACCAAAGCATCATATATAATATTAGGATAAATAGGAGTAGGCCCCTCAACTTGAAAGAGGCAGTACTCCCCTTGGAAGAGCCGACTAGCTCTCACACATGCCTGGACCAAACCATCCAGGTGCACCAGGCGTGATCAAGCGCCCCAGCAGAGCAGGATCCTGTGTCCACCCAAGTAGACGCTCGCTTCAACTGGTCTAAAAATTCTACTATTTCAGAGAATTTGCATTTGATGGCAACTCTAACACCATATGCTTCATACCACATTCCGTTACACATTATGATTGACAAAGATCTTATACCAAATAGATGCAATATGTTCGATGCGCATATACATTCTAAATGTCTGAAAAAATAAGAAATCAATAAGTTGAGACTGCAGAATGAATACATAGTTGTAGGTAACCATATGGGACATTTACCAACTGGTCTAACAATTCTACTATTTCAGAGAATTTGCATTTGATGGCAACTCTAACACCATATGCTTCATACCACATTCCGTTACACATTATGATTGACAAAGATCTTATACCAAATAGATGCAATAGGTTCGATGCGCATATACATTCTAAATGTCTGAAAAAATAAGAAATCAATAAGTTGAGACTGCAGAATGAATACATATTTGTAGGTAACCATATGGGACATTTACATACATAGCACACAATTCTTATGTATTTACATATCTAACACCTAAACTTCATATTTACACACATAGCACTCAAATAGTTAGCACTATTAGCACTTTTAAAAATCAAATTCACCTTTTTCATGCATAAATTTAAAGTAGCAAAGTATTATGCATGTAAATATGGAAGTTTTAGCTGTGAGAAATGTACATCAAGATCATATTTTTTTAACCTCTAGCGTAAAAAGTCCTCGGCCGAAACAAAAAAATCATCACATGATAGAGCAAAATAGGTTGAGCAAAAATCATTTGTTCGAGCTACAAGACTTTCATTGCTTTTACCAAACTAATTCAAGATCAATTTTCAGGAATAATGGAATTAGCGATAGGTTGTTCGAATACTAGTTACCAAGGCAAACAAATGCCAACTGCGTCAGAGACTGAATGATGCAAACGCTCCATGTCTAAGTGAATTGTGAAATTCAGTAATTTTGGGAGCATACTGACATGCTCGATATGCCTAAAAATTACCTACTTTTTCATATATATTTTATGCTCACTTTTAATGATTTTTAATGATATTACACATTAAAGAAATGTATTTTGAATATTTTTTATTTCAGGTACAAGAAATTGACTTTTGGATAAAATAAAGCAAAAATGATGTAATTTGGAGTAAAAACGAGTAAGAAAAAAAATTTTGACTTGGCACATTTCGATATGTCTTTTTATGTTTAATCTACTTTACATTCCTGTTGACCTCAATTTTTCGTGAGGTCTAGTATTCCTCGTAGGAGTTAGGATCTAACCTTAGGGGTCTTCCTGCAACTATCTTAGAACCTTAGAAGTGGGACCCGCCTCGTTTTAG